AGACTATCGACTTCTCATGCCTTTTTTAAGAGTGGATAATAAAAAGGGTAGGGGTAAATTCAAAAATATAAAATTTTTTAAAAATTGACCTACGCGGTTATAAAGCTCATAAAAGACCATGCAACTTTTATTCAAAAGATTTTTTGATACCTCTTACAGTTTTGACGATATTTAGTCAAAATCAAAAAAACCGTTTTAGCTTGTAGGGGTTGTTTCAACCCTAAACGTGCAAGAAAGCACATAAAAAAAAATACGTGTCTCTTATTTTGAACTGCTTTACAACATATTTAAAGCTCGTCGAAATCGGAGGGGGACACTTGGGTCTCTTTCCTTGTTAGTCGTACTCTCTTCTTTAATTCCCCATCATTTTTAATGTATAGTTGCAATGTCAGCATTAACAATCTGACTATTAAATCAGTAACTTATCTTTTTTTCCATTTCTTATTTGACAAATCAACGAACTTTGTTGTTGATTATACCACATATGTACAACTTATATAATTCTTTATTCTTCGAAAAAGGAATATCAATATAATAATGGTGTTTCTCTATTTTTTCAGTTTTAATAGGTTAACATTTTTCATTAATCCTACAACAAATCTTGCGTATCATTTATATTTGGTTTGAAACCATATCATATTGTAAATGATCAGCGTGCGTTTTCATATGTAATTTATTTATTTGACAATAAGGATAGCCTGATGATAGGTTGAAACATTTATATATTAATAAGTTTTATGACACAACGCAAGTTTGTTCGCATCGATATCTAGCGATCTGACCACAGACATCTATACTATCAAGAGACACGGTAGTGTCTCGCGCCAAGTTCACGCGCAGCGCAAGACCAAACGTGTATCTTTACGCGAGCCCGAAGAGCCCAGAGAGCCGAGATTATCGGAACTCAATAATGCCTGGGCCGATCGAGTTGATAATGGTCTCAATCAATAGCGCATACCCAAAATATATAATAAAAGTATACTTGTTTTTGCTCTACGTGCTTTATAAATAAATATATAAAAGTCCAAAGTTGAAATGTCAAAAATATTATCTCAATTTCTAGGATGTACAGTCAACATTTTTCACACTAGATGGCTATAGTGATGTTAGTAGTTGGGTTTGTTTGGGTTTGTGTTGGTGGCGCTATAGGAAATAGCCGCGCATACCAAATAACCTTACAGAAGATGTGTCAAAAGAATAATATTGAATTCGACCACTCGCACTACATTGCACTGGTGCACACTCAAGACTGCTTAATGTTCACCAGTTTTTTATTCGTATTCATCAGAGTAGTGTAGTGCAGTGTAGTGCGAGTGATCAAATTCAATATAAATGTATTAAGTAAAATAAGTGTATATAGGTTATAAGTATTGTGTTTTAATTTTACCATACATTCTGTCAAAAAGCTTTAGTGTATGATCTGTCTAAAATAAATAAAATTAAATATCTCAAAGTTTAATATTTCAATTCTACGTATCTTAAATTAGTTCCAACAATATTTATAATTTCTAGTCAATTTTATATATAAAAAAATATAGCATAAGTCACTTTTTGTGATTATCCTAAATTAGTTCCAATATTTATAATTTCCAGTCAATTTTATATCCATAGAAAATTGGAAACAAAATTATAAACATAAACTCGACAAGAAATCTTGTAATACACAAAATTAAAATTGACCAGAAATTATAAATATTGTTGGAAATAATTTAGGATACATAGAACAGAAATATTAAGCTTTAATATTTAATTTTATTTATTTTAGACAAATCATACACTAAAGTTTCTAAACAATGGTCTTATAAAACATAGTGATGATTGGTATGATTGTACAAATTAATTTTACAATACATTCTGTCAAAAAAGCACATCATTCGAGACTTTAGTGTATGATTTGTCCAAAATAAATAAAATTAAATATCTCAAAGTTTAATATTTCTGTTCTATGTATTTTAAATTAGTTTCAACAAAATTTATAATTTCCAGTCAATTTTATATTTTATATATAAAATTTATTTTATATATAAAAATGTCAGGAATTAGTAATTGTCCGAACACTTTTAAGCTACAACAAGTATATTCTTGTATAAATAAACGTATACAGAAAAACGGTAACTCTAATAGGAACGTAACGGTAGGCGTCTGTGCTGCTTAGAGTGCCAGCAGAGAAGAACATAGATCACAGAAATAGCAGAGGCGAACATTAATGCACTCACTAGTCGCCCAGTAGCGCCACGGTGTATCGACTAGGGATATCGATTAAGAATAGAGATCTTTTCGATCAGACTCGCTTTCTTACAAAAAAAAATATAGCATAAGATACTTTTTGTAGTTATCCTAAATTAGTTCTAATATTTATGATTTCCAGTCAATTTTATGTCCATAGAAAATAAAAAACAAAAATTATAAACAAACTCGATTATAAACAAACTTGACAAGAAATCTTGTAATACACAAAATAAAATTGACTGAAAATTATAAATATTGTTAGAACTAATTTAGGATACATAGAACAGAAATATTAAACTTTGACATTTAATTTTATTTATTTTAGATAAATCATACTAAAATCTTGAAACGTGTGTTTTCTTGACTGATTAAAATTGACTAGAAATTATAAATATTGTTGGAATTAATTTAGGATACATAGAACAGAAATATTAAACTTTGGTATTTAATTTTATTTATTTTAGACAAATCATACAAAATTTCTGAAACGTGTGCTTTTTTTGACAGATCCTAAATTAGTTTCAATATTTATAATTTTCAGTCAATTTTATCAGAATCAAAACAAAACAATATTGTTTTACCTTTCAAAAAATTGTCGTACCTATATATTAAATCAAAAAAAGCTGTCGTATATATATTACAAAAAAAGAAATGATATCTATCAAAAAATTACCTTTTTTAAAAAAGGTAAAAAAAGGCGCCAAGTACACGCTCTTGTCACAACTAAAACAAAACCATATTGTTTTATCTTTTAAAAAAATTGTCGTATATATTAAACCTTTCAAAAAAACCTGTCATAGATATTAAAACCTTTCAAAAAAAACTTGTATAAAGTAAAATTTTTAAAAAAGCTATTATATATACTTTCTACAAAAAAATATGATATCAGGATATACTAGATCGCTAACTCGAGTCAAATCATGACCTCAAAATCTATGTACTAAATTCTCGCGCATGTGTAACGTTGGTAGCAGTCACCTTTTAATTGATTGATGTTATGTATGATATACATGAACTACTATATATGATGTTTATATGTATACGTATCAGTCAGTTAGATATCGGCACAGATATTCACCATATTACTTTTCTACCAGCATTACGCATGCGCGATCACCATATTACATGGTTTTTGGATACCAATTTTATGTGCAATATGAAAATGGGAGTTAGCGGTCTATACACCGTCCAGCGAGAGAATATATCTGGCTCGACAAAAACTCGTCCGTTTCGCGCAAGTTTCCCCTCACGGAACGTTTAGAAAGCCCCTCTTTCCCCACTTCACATGACTGTACTGCTCGTGCTTGTCAATACCAACGCTCTCCCTACTTTGGCTACTATGCTTCTTCTATGCGCAGAAAGAGGTATATTCTCTCGCTGGACACTGTATAGTATAGTATAGATGTTAGTGGATCTGACTCATTTTATTCCTATCGTTTTATAATTTTATTATTTTTTGAGCCTTGTCATTTTTAATTTGATACTTATTTTTAATTTTTTCTTCATAGGCGTATAGCCTAAGGTTCCTTTTTCTATTTCATCTTTTCCCTTTCTCCTTTTCCCTCCTCAGGTTAAGTGTTCAATATATTTTTGCATTGATAGTAAATTTAAAGAACTAACCAGAGACCATATAACCAACAGTGCAGTTGTGAGTATGCCATTTGACGTCTTTCATGACCAATGGGCTCTTCTCCGATGACAGGACCTTGACATCCCCTAAATACAAAATTCACATTTAAATATATATACACTAAAATACACTAAAGTATATCTGATTCTTTTGCGCCAAATTTTTAATCTGTATTATCAAATTGCAACATTATTATATTAATAAACATTATATTATTAGCATTATCTTTGTTTGATTGTATATTAGGTAATTTATTTTAATCTTAATAGATATATACTTCGAAAATATACAATTTTAGAAAAAAATGTAAATAAAAATTGTTAGGTTTTGAGAAGAAAATAAAGTGGTAAAATTAGTTTAATTATGGGTAAAAAAATTCCCAAAAATACCTATACTTTTCTGTCCGTTACAGTGGTGTTCCCCTTTAACACTTTGTGATTTCTTTTTGTGGGGATATATCAAGGGTATTTACTACTGCGCCAATAAACCCAACATGAGGAACTGTATCATCAGGGTATTAGCAGGTATTCCTGTAGAAGTACTTCATAGAATCTCTATTGCTTTACGTCAAAAGTTTCAATTTTGCATTGATACTAATGGCGGAGTATTCAAACATTTTCTGTAAGTTGGGCAATACTTCTATCAACAAAAAACATGAGGTTACCCCAAATGTAAGAAGCAAGAGGATTTACAGAAATCAAGCACCCCGAACGTGAACGGCAAGAGAACTTATGAAAATAAAACATCCCGAAGGATTGTCAAATTGCAATTATAAAATTTTAAAATTAAATAACTAAAAAAATTAACAGTTTACGAAACAATTTTTTCAGACAAAAAGTTTTTTTTTTTTGCCCAAAAATCTGAAAAAGCTATTAAAAATAGACTTCTATTTAAAAAAATAAAGATGACCTTGAAACAGCCTCATCACCTTCATATAAGGTCAAATCAAGGTCATCGTGAAATGTCTCCTACAAAACCAAGCAACTTTTATTTTAAACGTTTTTTTTGTAAAATGCTTTTTTTTGAAATATTTAACTATTAAGATTAAAATAAATCATCCTGTATATAGGGTATCCAATAACTCGTGGTACAAGTTGGAAGGGAGTAATTCTACATTAAAAAGTAAGTCGAAAATGAAAAATAAAAATTTTTTACAAATAAAAAACGAGGATATCCAGCCAACGCCAGATGTTTTTTTTGCTTACAATAATCTTCTTTTCATTAATACAATAATACATAAACATTTCAGTGAAGATTTGACCATCTCCAGTATATTCTGTTAATTGTTGTCTAAATTACTATTACTAATTTTGATTCAGGTTAAATAATAAATAAACTAAATAATATAAATATAAAAAATAATACAAATTGTCGCAAATTAACTGACTATCATGGAAACGGAATTTAATTAAGCCTACCTATGGGACTGCGAGTTACATGATGTGAGGTGTTAATGTTGACAATTCGGCAGACAACTGTGAGAAACGTTTTTGTAAAAATGTAATAATGGGAAAAGGAGAAGGGAGAAAGGAACAAGTGAAAAAGAGGGGAGAAAGAGAATAGGAAACATGTAAGGATCTGAAGCAAATTAGGATTATAGTGATGGTAACAAGTTGAAGATTAATATATAGAAATCTGATTAAAGATCAGTATCACTGTATTTGTTAAAACCGTGATTCTGTCTTTTGATATTGTTGCGTCCGCGTGTCGTAATCGACAGTCCGCGATCGCCCGAATAATAATTACTCGCACAAAAAACGGAACACAGCTTTAATAGTAAAACACTTTAATGATTAAACAACGAAACACAACAACGTAACAATGTAACAAGAATTTGAATATAATATGCCGGAGATATCAGGTACGCGTCCGCACAATCTGACAGCTTGCTTAAATCTGACAGTCCAAGAAAATCAATAATTTTATAAACATTAACCAGCTTCCATGGTAACATAAACATTAGTTTGTTTCTATGGTAATATTGACATAAGACATTTAATTTATTATAACTCTTTTTTAAACTATGAAATAGTTTGTTAATCGATGTTGCTATAGCAACACGGCAAAGATAAACGGCGCGTAATTTAGGGTACGCAATACTATGTATCATTTTAGATATTTTTTCATAAGAATGTTTAATAAGAATGTTCATCGTCTCAAATTTTTATTTCGTCCTAATCAAACTCATAGTTGAATTTTAACCAGTGAAATTACAGAGGGAGAGGTATAATACTATTTTAATGTTTATTTGGTATTTGTGTAATCTAGTTTTAAGCCGCCTCTTCGTCTGTACATAAGATACATAAGTTGCTTCGCAATCACAAGAAATTTTGTACAGTACACCATATGTGATAATTTTTCCATCTTTGTGTATTTTTATAAAATGTTTCAAAACACTAGCTCGAGAATAAACGATCCTGAAATCATGTCTTTTTACTATAGATGCAAACTTTTCAGACACAAAACTTATATTCAAATGGTATCAATTTTTTCTTTTCAGAACCATTTTTTAGAGTTTTTGTTATTGTTATCATTTTTATGAAAGTGATACTTGAGTTTCTACGGATATTTTCAAATATAAATATCCATTTCTTTGTAAAATTTGTACAACTTTGATTAGATTTTTTTCATGGAAATGGAAATGAGACAAGAGAATGGTCCTATCAAGTCTAAAATAGTACCTTTTTTGTGCGTTGTCGGATGTTGAGAAGTTTGAATATATAGGTCATTCAAATGAAACATAGATTGCGCTAATTACGTTATAAATATTTGACGTGGTAGGTGGTAAATGGTAGCACTGTATACGTTGATATATACAAAAACTTTAAGCAATGCGATGTCTGCGCGACGCCTATATTGTGTAGAGAAAAACATTATTTCAACAGCGATGTCATGGATATCTCTACTATGCGCACAACGCATTTTGATCAACTTCTTTGCGGCGGGCTCGTTAGTTGTTATCAGAACCACTCTTCTATCGTATCACGGACATCTTGATTGGAGGTGAAACGACGCACCTTTAAAGTCTTTTTCAGCAGTCCAAAGATGTGGTAATTGCAGGAGGAGAAATCCGGACTGTATAGAGGGTGATTAAGACGTGTTGGAGGTATCCATGACACACCGCAGTTGAAATAATGTTCTTTTCTGCACAGTATATGCGTTGTGCAGATTTACCGCATTATTTGATGTTTCTGCACATATCAATATACCTTTTACTATGTTGCCATCGTCCGTCCACCCCATTAAATATTTACAACGTTATCAGCACAGTCTATGTATTATTTGAACAATATCTCCCTAAGAAGGAAGGTTTGTAGTATCAATCATAAACAATCTTAATATCCAGGAAGTTGAATTAATCATTTTCTCTTATTTCAATAGGAGGTAAACTGAATTTATTCGTGAAACGAACTAATTCTTCCTAAAACATTGCCCATAGATTCTCTGAGAGCAACTAAGATAATATCACCTACATACATACCTAAAGTAAAACGAAAATTTTAAGGTCAAACTGTTTATCGCTCTTTCTTCAATATCTTGAAGAGTGATATCTGCGATAATAAGAGAGTGAGGCAAATTTATGGGACTCTCAAAAGTTTGCTTACAAATAATGTTATTAAATTTAAAATACGTACGTAGAACTTAAAATGAATCTAATGGCACAAATAAATTCTTCTTGAGTGAATAAGGTGTTCTTGGAGATAAAATTCCACTTTTTCAAAATGCTGGAAACTGCCAAATCAACAGAAATACTGGTGAACAACGAAACATCCAGAGTCATATTCAAAGAAACAAGTTAGTCCTGCTTCATACTCATTTTGTTGATTCAATTTGTTAATTAAAGCTGTTGCAAACATAGCTAGCAGGAATACTTCTGTGTATTGTGTTATGGATGTAAACGGCTAAATTATAAAGAGAATTATTGATAGAAGTTTTTTCTGAATGATTCTGAATGAACATCTTGGTTTATGAACTTCGATTAACCAGTTGAGTGGTAATGTATCATATATGTACAAAAAAAAGTGCCAAACGTGGTAATGTATCATATATGTACATTTCTAAATAACTCCACTAATTTTCAATAGATTTGCATAAAACTTGATATCCTAAAGTTTTTTGGGCTGTTGAATTTAAATCTGTTGTCAAAATTGCAAAATTCAAAATGGCGGATCCAATATGGCGACTGTTAATTGTTAAAACGACTAAAATATTAGAGTTAGGTAAAATATGTATAAGACCTTATTTGTAGAGCTTTTTATGAGCTTTATTTTATGTTTGACAACTTTTTCCGTACAATGAATACTTTCTGAAATAATTAACAAAAACAGTTTTATTTTTTAACCTTTGAGGGGGGCTGGGGGCGGAAGGGGCTTTGCGCTAAAAATCCATTTGGGAATATTATTTACTAGATAAAATAAGTATGTAGGCTAAATATAAGCCAAATCGGAGGTGATAGCTTTTCAGAAGTTCACCCCCCTTTTTTTGATCCACTCCACTTTTGACTGGAAAATTGTAGTAAACATTTTCAAAAATAATGTTAGGTTATTGCTCTTCCTTAATTAAATTAAAAATCGTTTTAATATATAAAGCCAATAGAGCAAGAGCTGGATCGATTTGCTCAAAAATTCCTTTTTTTATTATAAATAAATACACAAATATTGTATTAGGTGTTGGAATTAATTCGTAGCGTTTTACGAGAGATGGCGGGGATACTACAGTTTTTTGTTTTTATCGTCAGAAGCAAATTTATCTTAAATCAGCTGTTAGGTTAGGTGTTATTTTTACGACCCATCTTACTTTCACTTGTTAATAACATCAAGTTATAATTATTTAAATATGTCTAAATTTATACCAAATAAAGTGTTTTTGCGGGGAGTTTTATTACATTATTTTCATATGAATAAAACTGCTGCGGAAAGCCATAGGATTTTAGAAGAAGTTTACGGTGAGCAAGCTTTAGCTGAACAAACGTGTCGGAAGTGGTTTGCGCGATTCAAAAGCGGTGATTTCGACTTAGAAGACAAGGAACGACCTGGACAGCCAAAAAAGTTTGAAGACAAAGAATTGGAGACATTACTTGAGGAGA